CCCTACATCGTTCTACTGCACATCTCAGTCCTCATCATAGGTTGTCCTAGTCGCAAACAAGTTGTCATGCATTAATCCGAAAACCAATCAATTCATCCATCAAAACACAGTGCCAATATGATCAAACAGCAGTACTTGGAGCCCTCAAATCGTAAGATTCGGACAGTGGACTAGGCTCCAAGCACCATCAAAAATATTCCAACCGATACAAAGCATCCCCCCACACTTAAGCACGACATTGCCCTCAATGGAGTAGAGGGAAAGATAAGGGGAACGATGTTACCGGGTAAGAACACTGCTGGGGGACTGGAAGTGGACCAGTCAGCGAGAAACGAACGGGGGAGTGGACAATGCTGCACAAATCGAACATCAGAAACACTAGCACACTGGCGTTAGGGATAAGCGTTAGCCCAGACGGCTACATCAAACCACAAAGGAAAAACCAAAAACAAAAACAAACGACAAAAAGTTCAAGCTCCGCACACATGGAGCAAACACTCAAAATTCTAAAAAAAAACAAACAAAAACAAACACAATGAGACGGGCAACGAGTACAGCCTACTCGTCGCCAAGATCGTCGAGATCGATGTCTCAAGACTCAAAAATACACAAAATTAAAGGAAAAAGAGTAAGAAAATGCAAACCTCGGTGGGGTTGCCTCCCCACAAGCGCTTCTTTACCGTCTTTTAGCTGGACGCCAGTATGGATGCTCAGGGGAGTGTAGGATCAGGTGCCTTCAAGAGCGGATCCACCTCGCTCTTGAGGTACAGCTTCAACTGGTGGCCATGGACGCGACGAATGTGGCCACCTGCATTTGCCAGCTGGACTTGGCCATCCGGTAGGATGCAAGCGAGTGAATACTCGGATGGCCAAGGCGGGGGCGGGACCAGCTCATAGTGGTCTCCGGCTTTCTTGCGAGCAGGCTTAGCTGCCTGCAGTTTCGGCCGCCACTCCTCCTTGATCTGTTCTTTGGAGGACGGAGTGGTCCGGAGTGGCGGCGAAGGTGGGGGAGGCGGGTCCTGCAAAATAGGCAGCATAGAAGGATACACGACAGACTCGTGCTCCTGGTGAGAAACAACATGCAGAGGTAGCGAAGCAGGTATAGTGTTAGCAACAGAAAATGTTATTCGCTCCTCGCCATCCCTTAGAACTAAGGTCCCATCATGCACATCTATGAGAGCCTTGGCGGTGGCCAGGAAAGGCCTTCCCAGTATAAGAGGCACTTCTGTGTCCTCACTGATGTCCAGGATAACAAAATCCACAGGATATGTGAATTTGCCAACCTTGACCAGAAGGTCTTCCACTATACCCCTAGGATGCACTACCGATCTGTCAGCTAATTGAAGGGTCATCCTAGTAGCACGGGGTTCACCTAGGCCTAGTTTCATGAACAATTTATACGGCATAACATTGATACTAGCACCTAAATCCGCCAAGGACTTCTCTACATGCAATTTATCAATAGAGCACGGGATAGTGAAACTACCTGGGTCCTTTTTCTTCTGCGGAAGCTTGTTCTGCAGAATAGCCGAGCACTCCTCGCTGAGCTCCACAGTGGCCAGCTCACTCAGCTTCTGCTTCTTTGAGAGAAGCTCTTTCAGAAACTTCGCATACCTCGGCATTTGCGATAGTGCCTCCAGGAAGGGCACTTGGACATTCAGCTTCTTAAGCATGACCATGAAGTTCTCGAACTCCCCTTCCAGCCTGTCTTTGTGCAACCGAGTAGGGAAAGGGAGTTTAGGGACATACTCCTTCACTACTGGTTGCGGTTGAGGTGCAGGCACCTCAACCTCCTTCTCTGCTTCCTGTGCACCCGCTGGAACTGCTAAGACAGGGCTCTCTTTCTCTGGTTCCCGAGCAGGGGGATCAACAGTCAGCTTGCCACTCCTGGTCGTGATGGCATTGCACCGCTCATCCGGGGTCTGCGGGTGAGGGATGGTCTGCGGTGGTAGAGTACCAGGCGCCCTTTGAGCCACTGCTTGGGCCACACGCCCCAGCTGGGTCTGGATATCCTGCAAAACTGCCTGTGTGTTCCTCTGTCCAGCTTCAAGGGCCAGGAATTTACCCGAGGCCTTCTCCATGAACTGCTCAAAGGCGTTGAATTTCTGAGCACTAGTACTGGCGAGAGACCCCACCAAGTCCCGCAGTTCAGCCAACTGATCATTCTGCACTGGGGCAGCAGGTGCTGCACCTGGCTGCTGGAAAGGCCGCGACTGTGATTGAGCAGCATGCCCCTGCATGGGCTGATAGAGAGACTGTTGTTGCTGCTGGAATTGCCCCTGTCTGGGCTGATATGGTGGCCTCTGGAAGCCTGGTGGTCCCTGGGCAGCTGGTGGTCTGGGATTTGGCCCAGCCCAGGAGAAGTTAGGATGCTGGCGCCACCCCTCATTGTACGTGTTGCTGTAGGGGTCATTACGCCTGGCTTTATTAATGAAGTTCACCTGCTCCTGAGGTGTGGTCGATTCCTTCATCGCCTGGCAGTCCTCCACCGTATGATGGGTGCTTTCGCACCATTGGCAGAGCATCGCCTGCTGCTGTCCGGTCCCTGGAATCAAACCAGAACGATTGATAGCTGAAACCAGCTTCGATACCACATCCACCAAATCAGATGATTGGGTGCCCACAGCATGCACACCCCTTCCAGGTGCTCGTCTCGATCTCCTGGCAGTGCCCCAGTCATAACCGTTCTCCGCCATCTCCTCAAAGAGTTGATTCAGCTGTGGCGGGGTTTTGGTCAGCATGTTCCCGCCACAAACCGAATCGATCAGCTGCTTGTCCTCCGGGAAGAGGGCGTGATAGAAGGTGCCCACCTTGAACGCATCGTTGAAACCATGGTTGGGACACCTGAGAAAGAGGCTGGTGTACCTCTCCCAAGCATCCCGAATGGTCTCATCCTCATCCTGAGTAAAATGTGTAATCTGCTTCTGGAGATCAGCAGTCTTGGATGGAGGATGGTAGCGGGTGAGGAACTTGTCCGCCAGGTTGGCGAACGTGGTGATGGAGCCCGGAGGTCGAGTGTCTAGCCACTCCTTGGCCTGCCCCTCCAGAGTGAATGGGAAGTACCTCAGCTGGATGGCATCTACTGGTACCCCATTGATCTTGATTCCATCGATGAGCTCGTGGAATCGCCTGAGATGTGATTGAGGGCACTCTCCCTCCTTACCACGGAACACTACTGAACCGCGCAGCATGGTGATCACGGAAGTGCTCACCTCAAAGTTGTTGGCTGGGACCTGAGGGTGTTGAATAGGTGACCTCATGTCCGCATCCCTAGCGGTCCAGTAGGATCCCATGGTCTGCTCCCCGGGGATCACATTGTTGTTCTGCGGATCACCCATCTCTCCTTCTTCTTCTTCTCCGATCTGTAGCTGTGACAGCGCCTTCTCCGCAGCCAGTCGCGCCTTTAGAACCCGCTTGGAGTTCCTGCAGGTTCGTTCAAGCTCCTGGTCAAGTGGTAGTAGATCTCCCGACTGGCTACGGGTCATGCACTACCTGCACACAATCAGCAGAAACAACCCGTGAAGGCACACAGGTGGAAGAAATAAAATGCAGTAAATAAAAGCTAGAGTAACAAATTCTCACGTTTCCCCAATAACCTAGAGGGTTCCCCGGCAACGGCGCCAAAAACTTAACTCGCTAAAACACAACACCTAACAATGGCCAAGTGTAACCAATGAAAGGGACTGCAGTATAGGCAAGTTTAATTATCAACCCGGGGTCTAGATCTACTGCTTACTCCGTGATTCTCTATTATCTAGCAAACTAATTCGAGTGATTGTTGTGAAAAGTAAAAGCAACAAGAAAGCAGTAAATTGTTCGGGTTTCTAAAGCAGGTAAGAGTCACTCGGGATTGAGTCCCCCTAGCCCCTTAGTTAGGTTCAATTGCAATTCCCTGGGTTGATTTACTGTTGATTAGACTGCGGAAGATCCGACAGTAGCTTGGAATCTCTTAAGCTGACCAAGCCCTCTCCGTCTAACTATCCGGCAGACGACTAGTCTTCACCGGGATAGAAAGCTGACGCTATGAACACAGAACTCCACTACTGGCGCCAAGAACACCAGTACAAAGCAGTAAACTGGCTAACTCTCGTATAGCCAATCTCCTACTATCGAATGAAGAGGCTCTAACAACCTAATCAGATTCTATCTATCTCAGGTTGCAGCAGAAATTGAGAAAAGCTGATCAGACTCAAATCAATTCAATAAACATGCATCATTCGATTAAAATCAAACAGTAATATCATCCCAAGTCATTACAATCAAATCCCTAACACAAGGAACTAGGGTTCTTCATACCCAAGTGAGAGAAGGGTTCTACTCCATAGAGAGAGAAGAGAAAACAAGAATCGGATTAGTCATACTCATAACGATGAGGATAATCTGCTCCAGGACGATGATTTTCACTCCTATGACGATCTCCAAGCTCGATTCGATGAAATCCAGCTCTTAGACGGCTTCTAGGATGAGTTCTTCGCACTTTCTCTCTCTAGGGCTCTGTTTTTGCTCTCAAAACGCGATTCTCTCACTTTTGGCTCGAATTAGGTTTTAAAACCGACTTTCCCGAGTTGCACGGCCAGGTGCACGGCCGTGCACAACACAATTCTGGCCGTGCACCCTCAAAACGCACCGTTTCACTTATTTGACCTTCATCCACCTTGCACGGCCAGGCGCACGGCCGTGCAAGCTTCAGGCCTGCCCGTGCATGGCCTCGACATGAGGTGCACGGCCAAATGGCTCAAGTGCACGGCCGTGCAGCCTCCTGGTCTGCCCGTGCACTCCCCAAAAAGCTCGCCCTTCGTCCGTTCTTCGTCCAATCGACCCCAGACTCGCTCCTAAGCCTTCATTCACGTACTAGGACCTGAAATAACACAACCAAGCACAACCTAGTGTGAAATCGGCCTAAAACACGAGAATCAACACCTCAAACGGTGTAAGTAGGAGGGTAAAAACATGTGTAAATGACGGTCTATCAACTGTTCAAGGGTGAAACAACTTACTGGATCCATGAATTTGCTTGCAACATGCACTTGTATGGATGATGACATATACAAGATGCTTGAGGAAGGAATGCAAACATTGAAGATTTGTGCTGAATCCATGATGCCTGCCATGAAGTTTGGCCAGCCTAGCACAAGCATGGGTAAGAAATGAAACACTACCTTTAATTTGGTGCAGGTTTGTAATGATATCATTTACTGTTTGTATTCTTAGTGTGTTTTTTCATAACAGTTAGTATTTTTTTAGTTGATATTCATATCAATGACTGTTAGTAATGATATTATATAAAGTTTGTATTGTTAGTATATTTTTTCTGGTATGTTTCTTTGTAGGATAAGTTTGGCTACAAAAACTGACTATTGCTGTTAAATCTAGGGCTGGGAAAATAGACCAGACCGTTAGAAAAACCGTGGTCCAAACCGTACCGCACAGTTTGGTCCGGACCATAGACCGTTAAGTATGGTCTGGTCTGGTCCACGGTCTGTATTATTTTATGTTTTGATCTCTTGGTCTGGTCTGGTATAGACCGCCGTTTACCGAACCCAACCAACTTGTCAATACGTGTTAACAGCTCATTCGACCACTCTCCCAACTCCCACAACGACACCCAAGTATCAACCTTAGTTTTGTGAATCACATTCTCCTTCATTCACAACCACATTTAACCAGAGGGCAGAGATAATTGTGTCTCCATATGGCATTATCTTAATGTTTATGACGTTATGGTGCAAGTTGGGATGCTTTTACTTTGTATCTTTGTTATGTACTAAGATATAGGGTATCAAAATTATTCATGCATGTTAGGATTAATGTTTTAAGGCAAATAACAGTTGTTTCTCTTGGTATTGGTTCAATTTTTTGTGTGGTAGACTAAACAAATTATTCATTTTTCGTTGAGTGTGGTCTATCTGGACCAGACCAGACCGAACCAGACCGCACAGGCGTGGTCTGGACCGGACCGTATAGTCTATGGTCTGGTCTGTGGTCTATACTTCAGCCTCTCGGTCTGGACCATAGACCGTATATATGGTCTGGTCTGGACTAGACCGCACCGTTTTCCACCCCTAGTTAAATCCTTTGTTTTTTTCCTATTCTAGAAGCATAATTGAATCCAACAAGTTCAGAGAGTGAACCACATTGGGCGAAAGCATTAAAAGTCAGGACCGATCCATTTAAATCAAGGATAAGGAGGAAGAATCGTATTGAAATCATTCGAGAACGGAGAAGACAAACAAAGTTACAAGAAAGGGCAGCTGAAGGAAAGTAAATACATGATACCTGCCATGAAATTCGGCCAGCCTAGCACAAGCAGCAGGTTTGTAATGATATCACTTACTGTTTGTATCCTTAGTATTTTTTTCATAACAGTTAGTATTCTTTTAGTTGATATTCATATCAATGATTGTTAGTAATGATATTAGTTAAAGTTTGTATTGTTTGTATCATTTTCTGGTCTGTTTTTTGTTGGATAAGTATGCTACAAAAACTGACTACTGCTGTTTAATCCTATTGTAGAAGTGGAAACAAAGTTACAAGGACAAGGAGGAAGACAAACAAAGTTACAAGAAAGGGCGGATGACGGAAAATAAATACATAGACAGAACTGCTTGTCATATCATATATTACTTGATAGATACATAGATAAATTTGAGTGATTGCATAGATACATAGATAAACTGAATAAATGTCACATCAAACAATTCATTTCTTGCTTTTTTTTCAATTCATATTTGTAATTTTTCAATCTCATGCTTATTCTATGTTAGACAGAAACATTACGAAATAGGATACAAAAAATTACGAACCACAACAACAAAACATACAAACTACTGTGATAAAAATTACAAAACGAGAACATAGATAGCAGCCACCCTACTGTTCATACAAGAAAGGACAAGTGTTTACATTCTAAAAAAAACATAATGGTTAGCAATAGCCTTCTAACCATAACACCAACAGCCACACTATTGTTTATATGGTCACCGCATTACAAAACATGAGAATGGAAAATAGTACTAGTGCATACTATCATGGATTACCAAAAAAAAACACTATTGGTTCCCTATTCCATCATTTTTCAAGCGAAACCCCAGTACTGGAACTCCCTAATGACAACAACAATTCTTCACTAAAAGACACATTCATCCTCAATTGCTAGATCACCAAATTGCTTGACCCATTTAGCAAAGTCAGCATAGCATTAATCTTCCGGTTGTAAATATAGGTTGGAGAAGACCATTTTTCCCTCATCGTCTTTGTAGCCACACCTTCTCATTCTTCACAGTAGTTTAAATAGATAATGCCAGCACTATTGAAATTATCATATGGAATTGTGATCCTCCGCCATTTGATGTCGTTATCAAAGTCATACTTTCCTGGCATGATGTGCTGAATGTAAGATGTTGCATACTGGACGACCAGCTCTCCAACCCTCCTAAACCGATCTAGAAAATGCTTAGAAGGAGAGCTGTCAAGGAACTCGAAACGACGATCCTTCAAGTTAACACAATATACCATGAAATGATCATCCATACAACATGGGAAAAGCCACTGCACATGAAGAAGAAACAAAGAAGAATCATAAAAAGTACAATCATACAAAGCAGAATTGTACAAAGTATACAAAAAATATGGAACAGAATCACAAAGTGTACAAAGTATACAAGGTATACAAAAAATATGAAACAGAATCACAAAGTGTACAAAGGATGAAATATTCCAACTTACATATTGGCATGTCTTGAAAGATGCACCATCTCGCAATGGGTATTTTCTGACATAAGATTTCATGACCATCAAATATTTGGGTTCCATTTTGTCATTCACAACCTTGGACTAGGTACAATCAAGACAAAAAAAACTTGCATTAATATGGCTAATAGATACTAAATGACATACAACAACATGTGAAAATTAACTCATCGAAAAGTCAGTTGGAAAAGACCATCTACCAATAAATCCATTCTCACAAGAAGAACAACGGTTGAAATTCTCAATATAGCAATCAAGAAATTTTATTGATAGAACAATCTTGTCACATGTCGTTTGAGTATCCTTCCTTGACAAGCGATACTCACCTTCACCCATGTCGAAAAGAATTTCATTCCTTAAAATGTATACAAAACAGGAAATCTGTCACTCCAAGCATATTGAATAAGTTTTTCTTCATACAATAGTTGGCTACTAGTCCAAAGTAGAGCTACCTTCTCTACCTTCTTGGAGGTAGGTATTTTCTTTTTTTGCCGAATAGGAATATGTGCTTTCATGGAAGGAGGTTTACGCTTTTTATTACCAGTAGTATATGGTGTCTTCTTTAAATTGGATGGCTTGAGCTACCTTTTCGAGCGTCTTTGATTAACAAAATCAACATTCGACCCAGAATCTAACAAAATAGAGACAACACAAACAAAACAGACAAACATTACAAACAGCAGCAGAAAAAGTAACTAAGTGTACAAATAGACAAACATTAGAAACAGCAGTAGAAAAAGTAACTAAGTGTACAAAAAGATTAAAATTGCAGTAAACGAGACTAAAGGACAGCACCAACTACAAACATAACGATTACCTTTGACGCCATTCTTGTTGTCATCTTCACCATTTGACTCATCTTCAGCGTTATCACTAGAAATATCATCACAATTATCTTCAATCCCAACGCCATCGTTATCATCACTATTTGACTCGTCTTCTCACAACCAAAACAACAAAGATGAAACAATATAGCACATTACAAAAGACATAAAGACAGAGAACTAGATAATTAATAAACCATAAGATCTAGTTTGCAATCCACAAATAGTGTGCACACACAACATGTGTACAAATAGTACGACAAAGAGTACAAACCATACAAACCAATCATAAAGTGCATATTTAAAAGATGTACTACAAATTTAAAAGGCCACCATCAATAACTAAGCAAGCTTTTCACCCCGCTCACCATCAGCACCTGCCTCCACAGATTGTGGAATCTGTAAAACAACTTCCATACTATCCTTAAGTGGCAGCTCCTCGGAAACTGCGGTTGGCACGACTCCATCCATTGTTGGCTGCTGCGGAAGTGCTGGATCACGAGTAACTCCAGCCTTCTCCACTGCTAGCTGCTGCCTCAGAAGTGCTGGAGTCTTCTGGAGCTCAGTTGGCTGCTGCGAAAGTGCTGGAGCACGAGCACTTCCAGTCTTCTCCACTGATGGCTGCTGGCGCCCAAGTGCTGGAGTCTTCTGGAGGTCAGCTGGCTGCTGCGGAAGTGCTGGATCACGAGCACTTCTAGTCTTCTCCACTATTGGCTGCTGCCTCACAAGTGTTGGAGTCTTCTTGAGCTCAGCTGGCTGCTGCGGAAGTGCTGGATCACGAGTAACTCCAGCCTTCTCCACTGCTGGCTGTTGCCTCACAAGTGCAGGAGTCTTCTGGAGCTCAGCTGGCTGCTGCGGAAGTGCAGGAGCACGAGCACTTCCAATCTTCTCCACTGCTGGCTGCTGCCGCACAAGAGTTGGCTTCTTCAGATTAACTAGAGCTACATCATCATCAGTTTCCTCCTCACTCCTATCTCCATCATCGCTCTCATCATCATCGTCACCACTCCGATCACCATCATCGCTCCCATCACCATCACTACCACTCCCACTTCCATTCCCACTCCCACTCCCACTCTGATAACCGCCTTCACTCTCACTCTCTTCATTATCAGTTGTTGTAGCTTTCTCAACAACTTCAGCACCTTCAGAATCATTTGCTGTAACTTTCTCAACAAGTTCAACACCTTCAGAATCAGTGTGCACCTCGATATCAGCTAGGCATAGGTGACACTGATTTATCTGTCTTCGGTACAACTTACCTTGCTGTTCCAACTCAGATAATGCACTTTGTAACCTTCTCCTAATCAACTTAACCTACAACAAAACAAATAATAGAAAACACAAACATAAGTTAGAGAATGTACACAAATAATACAGACAGTACAAAGTAATAGACCAAAACATACAAAGTGTACAAACAGTGCAAAAAGATAAAAAGTATACAGACAATACAAAGGATGAGACCAAAACATACAAAGTGTTCAAACAGTGCAAAAATACACAAAGTATACAGACAGTGCAAAGGATGAAACCAAAACATACAAAGTGTACAAACAGTGCAAAAATATACAAAGTACACAGACAGTACAAATGATGAAACCAAAACATACAAAGTGTACAAACAGTGCAAACAGTACAAAGTATACAGACAGTATAAACACTACAAAAACATATCATAAAGCTTATAAATTGTGAAAACAATACTATAAAGTATATGAACAATCTGTACAAAGTAAGCAAAGAACACATACAAAACCATACAAACTCACCTCTTGAACAGTCTTGCCATCCAGATTCAAATCGAAATTTGGAAATTCATCTCCAATACCAGAACCCTTCTCACCTCCAGCAACCTCAAACCCACTAATACTCTGAGCCATCTTCGGACGAGTAGTAGAAGAAATGGGTGCATCCCTTAGAACAAACACCTTACCAAAATCCTTCCCAAACTTCTTCTCCATTGCTGCCTTCCTTTGCTTCAAATGTTTCGAACTCCACAACTGACAGGTTGGCACCAAATTACTAACACAGCGGCTGGCCTCTTCCTCATTCACAGTTGTCCTATCGAGGAAACAAATAAGCAAGAAGTGCATATCTCCCTCAACCCAGCTGTGATGCTGACTTGATGTCACCTTATCACAAATGAGACCATACACATAACTGCACCAATCATAGTCACAGAAATACTTAACCATTTCTTGAGAAAGAAAAGTCAAGTATTTTGTTGTCACCGTCCTAGATGAAACACATTCGGAAAGGAGGCAAACAAAACATACATATTCACCCACCTAGAATCAGACTTCTCTGCACCCATACAAGTCCTCAAATTCTCAAAACCAACAGTCCCCTTCCCAGTTTTACTGAAACCATAATCTTTACCAAGGTTAGAATTCACCTTTGATGTTTTCTGCAAACACACAACATTTGGTCCCCTTGGAAGGCCATAAACTCTGTAAACATCCTCTTCCGTAATGCAAATCTTCTTTCCATCATCCAAGTTGATACACTTATTCTTCCCATCCCACCTTGAAATAATGAACTTAATAAGTTCATTGTCCAGATTCTTCATCTTCATCAAAAGCACAAAATCCAAGCCCAGCTGCTTAATTAATTG